GGCGCTGTCAGGTCCTACTGCAGATGGCGGCTCACGTGTCCCTTCACCTGCCCGCCCCGGGGGTCCGACCGGCTCCACCCTGAGTCTAGAGCTGGGTATGGGGTTGTGGGCTGGGTCCGTCCCTGCGTTCGGCACAGGGCGGAGTAAATAGGCGTTTACTGGGTGAGCCAAACTCGGCGTCATCTGGTCATGCTCCCCGGATGACAGAAGTTGTTTCCTGTACTTATTTTTTGCTAAAGGCCCCGTACGCTGGGACCAGCAGATGGCGTAATGGTTACGTCGCTGGACTCCACATAGTCGCCTGCATACTGCTGGCTTAAAACTCAGGCCAGGTGTGCATGCCTATGTGCCCAAAGTCCTGAGAGGAGAATGGACGAGAAGGGATTACACGTGGCCATCCCCCGAGGGGTGATTTCTCGCTTTCTGTCCCTTTGTCTCTCCAGCGAGAGCATGCGCCTTATAGGAAAAATCTCTTTAAAAAAATATAATAAAGGGCCCATATACTGACCAGAGAGAAAAAAAGAAAGGCAATACCACCCCCCCTTGGGTAAAGGTCACTCTACGATCTCTTCTCCCCACCTCGTCCTCCTCCCGGGGCCTTGGACACTTGCACAAGCACAGGCGTGTTTCTCAAGCTGCCAGGTCCCCCGGTCTGGACCTCCAGCCCTGCGGAGGGCCACGTGGCACGCAGCTGCCTTAGCCACTGCCCTCCCAGCCCGCCTGTCCTTTCCTCTAATCAGCAATCATCTGCCTGCTCTTCACACGTTGGTTAGAAGCCTGTAAAAGTACAGCTCCCTCCACCCACTCTTCCCGGTCAGACACTTCGGGGAAGGGGCTCAGCACCACTGATGAAGGAGTGAGGGTGCCAGACCTCGGCGGATGCATGCCGAGGCGTGGGCACAGGTGGGGCGGCGGCGTGGTCCTCCTGGGCCAGCATCTCCGAGAGGGTCTCAGTACTAGCTCACACATGTCTGGGGACTTGAGATTCAAGAGTCTAGTCTGCAGTGGAACAGAGAGCCGAATTTTAGCCAGGAAAAGGCAAGGGAAGCTTCCCAGGAGGCAAACAGCTAGGCCGGGGCCAGGAGGACAGGCACTCAAACGTGGAGCCCTGATTAGTAGGCCCTGAGACAAGGCGTGGAGGCCATGTGGATTCCAGGGTCCTGTCTCCCAGCAAGAAGGCTGCCCCAGCCCGGGAGCTCTCATCTCCGACCCCCCGAAACCTGCCCTGCGTGGGGCTATCAGGAAGATGAAACAGGGCCACGGCTAAGTCCGGCCCTCTCCGAGCACGAGCCCGGGCGTGTCCTGTGCTACGAGTTAGTCGTGTGAACGCTGAGCCTTCCCTGCACTCACCCTCGTTAGCTTACTTACTAAGTCAGGCGGGTCCACAGTGTGGCATTGAGGCAGTTCGGGACCTGGGCAGTTCGGGACCGGTGGCACGAAGAACACGCCAGGAGTGTACATGCCCAAAATTCCAACAGGAGGAGTGATAGGATTGCAGTGCGGCCTTCCCGGGGAGGCTTTCTCACCCCCTCACCTTCCCCTTCTCCTTGTCTCCCTCCAGAGAGCGCACGTGCCCTGTGGCAATTTTTTTAAAAAGGAGGAAGAGGACAAGAAGAGATCACTCTGGATACTGTGTGGCCCAGGGTGGGTGGCCACTCTGAGCCTCACTCTGAGGGAGGAAAGGAGCCTGGGCCGTTCAAGGAGGAGCAGCTGCCGGCCACCTGCTGCTCCCACTCCCCCCTTCTCCTTGTCTCCCTCCAGAGAGCGCACGTGCCCTGTGGCAATTTTTTTAAAAAGGAGGAAGAGGACAAGAAGAGATCACTCTGGATACTGTGTGGCCCAGGGTGGGTGGCCACTCTGAGCCTCACTCTGAGGGAGGAAAGGAGCCTGGGCCGTTCAAGGAGGAGCAGCTGCCGGCCACCTGCGGCTCCCACTCCTGAGGAGTGGGCTCCGTGCCCACAGGCTGGGCTTTGATTGACGGGTGACTGTGTTCTGGAGTCAGCGAGTCCTCACTTCCGGTTCCTGCGGTCTGTGAAAGAGCAGGGCCGAGCCAGGGAGCAGTGGGGTTTCAGAGAAGCTGGGGGTGGCTACAGAGCCTGGTGAGCAACCCCCATCCCGACCCCCACCCCACCCACCCCATCCAGGGTGTGGGGACACCTTCGTTGCTGCCTCACTGGGCTCTCGGGAGACCAAGGGAGGTGACCAGCAGCTGCACAGGCAGAGGGGGGCATCCTTGTGCAGGAAGCCCACACGCCTGGGGAGTGGAAGGAGCCCAGAGAGGGCGAGCAAAGTGACTTCTCTCTGTGCCAGCGTGCTGCCCAGCAGCCAAGGGTGGGCGGCCCACATCAGCCTGCTGCTGGACCGGCCCATCCCCGCATGATTTTCAAGCCACAGGGTCCTGGACTTACCTGCACAGGTGGCCATGTGGGATCCAGCTGCCTTAACCTCCACGCCACTGGCTAGACATGTCCACACTGGAATTCGCCTGTTTCACTTGGCAGACCCTTGCTCAGTGGTGGGATGCTCTACCTGCCTGGTGGGCGGTGGGCAGTGGGCACCAGCCGCAGGTGAAGACCGAGCCCTCGGGACTGGCCTGTGCGGCTGAGCGGCTGAACAGGACAGGGTCCTCTGCTTGCCTCCGGGCAGGCGGCAGGTGGGTGAGGGCTGCCCAGCCGTGCTCTGCCCGCTGTTCTGGGTTGGGCCTGCCAGGAAGCCCTGGAGCTCCCTCTGCTTGGAGCACTTCAGCCCTCGAGTTGGCCTGGAGGCCTGGATCTCCACGGGCTTCCTTACACCGAGCAGGCCACTGGGCTGGGACGACGAGGTGTTCGGTGTGGAAACGAGGCGGTGGGTTTGAAGTAGTCCTGCTCCAGCCGGGGACCTCACCCTGGACCACAGGAATCAGAACCTGGGGGTGGGGGCATCGGTACTTTGCAAACTCCCGGCCAAGGCTGGCAGCCACACTCTGAGTGACTGAGCCGGCTCCTCTGCCCTCTCTTGGAGCTCAGGGGTATCGTCGCTAAAGAGGGCAGCGTAAAAGATGCAGATGGCAAACCCCTTGCAGGGGAGGCCCCTTCCCTTGCTGCAGCTGAAGGGAGCCGCGGGTGTGTGCAGAGTAGAACCCTGGCCTCAGGAGAGGGTGGCTGCCTGGCTGGCCTCCCCCTGCACTCAGGCCCGCGCGACTCCCTGGGCATGCTTGGGTGTTGTCTTCCTCGTCATAAGGGGAAGCAGCCATGTGACCCACGGGACTGGCAGCTGGTGTGTGGCCGGTGTTCCTGGCCAGTGCGGCTTCGACTGACGGCCCTACCGCCCCGGGCTTAGAAATAGAACAGGGCCGCCTCCGAGTGCGGTGGCCAGGCTCCCAGGGAAGGAGGCCGGCGGCGTCCTGCACGGGTCTGACAGCTGTGCTCACACGCCGTGCCGCCTGGGCTCACATGCCGTGGCTGCCGCTCTGAGCAGTGTTCCTCTCGGCGGCCCTCCGGGCGCGTGTTCCCAGGGGGACTCTCACCAGGGCCGTGCTGAGGGAGAGCGAGACCAGCGGGGCTAGAGCTCACGGCCTGCTCTTGGGAGCTGCTTTCCAGAACCACAGACGCTCGGTGTGGTGCCGGGCCACGTGGGGGCCCAGGTTCAACCCTGAGTCGGCCGGAACACACCAGGCACACGCGTGGTCCTGGCGATCGGCGGGAGGCTGGGGCAGGATTGCAGCCCAGCAAGACCCGATTCCTCTTTCATCTGAGAATAAACTTTTAGAAATATTATATATATATATATAATGGATAATAGATAGGTAATAAATATAAAGCCCTTGGGTTGATCCTAAAGGCAGCGGGCACAAAGTCCCAGGATGGGACTCGGGCTGGCATTAGGAGACACCTGGGGACAGGCGGGCCATGGGACACCCTGACCTGCGGCTGCAGCCATGCACCGTGGTGGGGTGTGTCTGCAGCCAACGTCTGTCTGCCACGCTGAGGCCTACAGAGCCAGGCACGGGAAGCTTCCAGGAGCGACCCGGGTGGCCACAAGTATCCCCCACCTACCTGTGGCTCTGAGCGGCCTGGCAGCTCGTCCCTCCCTGCCCCTGCCAGCAGCGCACCAGCTCCTGGGTTTGGCAGGGGAGCCGTCACGACAGCCCCGCCGCGCACATTACGGCGGGGCCAGGCGCTCTTGGATGGCTCCGACATGGTGTGAATACACTCTTGTGTCTTTTTGCCATCTGCTGCTGTCATTAAAGAATTACATTTCCATCTGTTTTCACACTTTTCTCCCCTCCAGCTCCCTTCCTGAGGAGTACCGCACGCATCCCAAGCTGCGAGACTGGGACGTTCCCCTGTTCCCT